GGGACTCCAGGATCATGACCTGAGCCGAAGGCAGTCGCTTAACCAACTGAGCCGCCCAGGCGCCCCTATGTAAGTTATTTTTAAGTAGGCTGTTGTAAAATGTTAAAAATCAATTTCTTTCTTAAGCACCCAAACAGTACCATTTTAATATATACCAGTTGCTTTGTTTGTTAACTCTTGTAATGAGTACTATATTATTTAGGATATGGCTAAACTACTATACCAAAGCATCCAAACTACAGTGGTTCAAACAAAATGAATTTTATTTAACACTCATGCAGCAGTCCATAGTGGTGTTCCATTATATCAGAATGGCTTACTCCATGAACTCATTCATGGTCCAAGCTTCTTTCCTTCTTGTTTCTCCACCAGAACTGCCTCAAGCATTGGCATCATCTGAATGTTCAAGGTTGGGTTGTTGTTAGTTCATAGTTTCAGCCTTAGGAAGAAGAGAACATAGGAAAGCCTTACATCCTCTCTATTTTGAATACCTGAAAGTGTACACATCACTTCTCACATTCCATTGGCAGAAACTTAGTCACATGCCACAGCTAATTTCAAAGAAAGCTAGGAAATACATGGTAGTTGCTATGGACAGCCAAGAGTCTTTTCCACACCTGCTTTCTCTCATTTTGAATTAATGAAGATCAGATTACTTTGCTTAGCAATAAATGCATTTTATTAATTATTGATTAATTTTTCTCTCCTTTAGCTAGATGTAATCATAGCAGATTTGGATGGAGGCACTATTAAAATTCCTGAATGTATTCACCTCTCTTCCCTCCCGGAACCACTTCTACATCAGACTCAAGCAGCTCTTTCTTTGGTATGACATTTTTAATAGTAATTTTCTTTTGATTTAACTATAAACTCAGGTAATTGGAATTAGATATCATTGGCAGTATAATTACTTTAAAAAGAGTTGTATGTTCTTAAAACATGAATATATTCTCACAGAATATTTAGAATAGGATTCTTTACTACATATTATCTGAAGAATATACTTTAAATTCTGACTGTTTATTTTTTCTACATTCACTCTTTCACTCAGCATATTTATTTAGTAGTTAATATATACCGAATACTGTGTTAAGTATTGGAAACATACCAACATACCTGTGAAAATAAGACCGGACTCTGCCTCAAAATCCCTGGTTTCCCTAACATCCCTTGCTGGAAGATAGTACCTGCTCCTTTTCCTTCAGCCTCCTTGTTGGCATCTCATTCCTTTTTGGTAGATGCTACTTGCAAATAGTGTGATACTATCTTGCCAATGTTTTTAAGTTACTACAGAAAACTGTAACTTATTGAGAGATTAAATATCTAACATTTTTTGGAGTAAAGTTTTAATGACTCTTGTAGTTTGGGTGTTTCTCACTGACACATTTAATGTTTTTATAGTTATTTTATCTTAGTTGGTTTTTTCTTTTTTATAATTTTTTTTAAAGTAGGCTCAATGCCCAGTATGGGGCTTGAACTCATAATCTTGAGCTCAAGAGTCACATGCTCTACCAACTGAGCCAGCCAGACACTCCTTACCTTAGTTGATTTTTAAAATTAGAGCATTGTATTTTACTGACAAAATTTTAGGTGCCAATTTATTCATCATCAGAAAATTGAAACTTAGAAATTATGCATTCCTTTTCAAGCTGTACTAGAACTAAAGCCTTCATATTCTTTTTTTTTTTTTT